TTAATTGGCACGATGCCAACACTTCCGTTTAGCTCGGCGACCCACCATCCGCTGTCCTCGTAGCATCTGCTGACGACGCGCACCATGTCGCCCCTCGTGACCGTCAGCTCGTCCCGCTGCTCCGCCGCGCAGTCCCACGTCGCCAAGTACCAGTTCTCATAGTCGATCGGTCGGCTGCTGCGGTCGCCAGGTGGCGCTGCGGCGGCGGGAGGGAGCGTGCGGTGGGAGGGAATGCGGGGGGAGGGCAGGCGGGGGGAGGGATTGCGGGGGGGGGCGGCGGAGGAGGGAGACGCTTTGTTGAAGGGGACGTCGTACACGGAAGGTGTGGATGGCTCCCTCGGCAGCGGTCTGGGAGGGGGCGACACCGTCGGGCAGTCGCGACGCACGCTTGGTGCATCTGTGTCGTCATAGATGTCGTCCGTGTCGTCGGCTGGTTGGGCGGCAGCAGGACGGAACACAGGAGCGGGGATAGGACAGGCGGTAGGTGGCGCCTCTGTGTCTTCATAGATGGCGTCAGTGTCGTCCGACAAATAACCAGCGGGAGGATAGAAAATGGCGCCTGAAGGAGCAGGGTTGAGACGGGCGGTAGGGGGCGCCTCTGTGTCTTCATAGATGGCGTCATCGTCGTCTTGCACGTAGGTACCGGGGCTGCGTGACGTAGTGACTGGAGCGACGGTAGGTGGCGCCTCTGTATCCTCATAGATGGCGTCATCGTCGTCGTCAGCCACGTGAGAGCCTGGGCCTCGTAACATGGAGGCCTGAGTGGGGGAGTTAGGACGAGCAGTAGGGGGCGCCTCCGTATCGTCATATATTTCCTCTCCTGCTTCTCCTTCGTCGAACAGTCTCTCCTAGAACAGACGAGCTCGTGAGCACTCGCTCCTACAGTGTAGCTGCTCGTACCCTCTGCTTATCCCACCTGCTTATTATAGCTTTTTTTCGCAAATAATTTTCCTAAATAATTTCAACCTAAAATAATACGAAACCGGTAAACGCGTCGACAGCGCATGCGCGGCCATACCTTTTCCGGATTCGCCGATTCCAGTCTGCGCGGTTCGACTTCCGGTTCGTTTCCTGAAAGACAAACGAGAAGAGAGTTCGTAATTCGGCCACCAGATGGCGGGACCATGACGATGAACTCGGCTGGGTGGATATATGTTTCCATGAAACCGACTGATCGCGTGATGTCAGTGTACGTCAGTGTGATGTCAGTGTACGTCAGTGTGACGTCAGTGGCTAGCCACCACCATAGACCAATCACGCACGCACATCCATGTATGCATATAGGGCACATCCATAATATATTATTAGAGCGAACCATAATAGCGCAGCGCGCACCGCGTAAGGCGCCGCCCGGTACTTCTGGAGGTGGTTGGTTCGAATCCCATGTTTATTTTATTTATTTTTTTATTTTTTTATCTTTATCCATTTAACAATTTTTCCCCAATTAACGCAAATATTTACATGATTTATTTACAATTTTTTATTTATTTTTTTTCAATAAATTAAATGTATTAGTGTTAATTAAATTTAATTAGGGTTAGGGTTAGGGTTAGGGTTAGGGTTAGGGTTAAGGTTTTTGCATCAGGTTATGTGCGTGACGTACACTGACGTCACGCGATCAGTCGGTTTCATGGAAACATATACCCACCGTTCGTCGCGAACAGTGTAACCACGAGTTACGGCGCGGCTTACCGTTTTGCTGCATCCAATCGGAGACCATTGTGTTAATAGCAAACTTCCAATCCTCCTGCTCTCTCCTGTATTGAGCTTGAAACTGAAGCGTAGAAAAATGCGACTGAAAACAAACTGAAAGGGAAGGAAGACATTTCGCCGTGCGTTGACCTGCCTTATAGTACCTGCCTTGTCTGCTATTCGCTCATGCGTCGTATCAAGAGCAGATAAAGAAGTCTTATCCCTTCTTTATCTGCTCTTGGTCGTAGATGTCCAGCGGGCTAAAGCAGTCCCCGTCTCAAATAATCTGACGCTAGTATGAAAAATTCTGACGACCCGAAGACGTTTCACGGAAACAGCCGAGTCTCTCCGAAAGAATTTTCTTTGCGCCTCCACAAAATGCGATAAGGAACCATGAAATATATCTCGCTATCTGGCGATGCACATACATGCACAAGGTACGTCATAGTGGCTGAGGTCATGTAAATATGGACATAGATATACAACGCATGAACGGAAGCGTATAGCAAGACTAAGTCTGAGGTGCCTACACAAATTAGATAGTTAATGCGTATAGAATATATATATATATACATATATATATATATATGTGCGCGTGTGCTTGTGTGTGTGTGTGTGTGTGTGTGTGTGTTTGTGTGTGACAGTGTGTATGTGTTTGTGTGCGTGTGTTTATGCGTGTGTGTGTGTGTGTGTGTGTGTGTGTGTGTGCGTGTGCGTGTGCGTGTGCGTGTGCGTGTGCGTGTGTCGTGTGTACGTGTGCGAGTGCGTGTGCGTGCGTGCGTGTGTTTGTGTGTGCGTGCGTTTTTGC